ACATACGTGATGTACGGATCCTAACGTACTGATGTACGGTTGTACGGTCGTATGGATACCGTACCATATGTACGGATAGTACAYATTCACATGAATCCTCATCTTGATCAATACGTGGACTATATACTGAAACCTCTAGGTTGTGCTCATGAGTGAAATGTTTGATTTAGGTATCTGTATTACAAGTTAATTTAAAGGCCATAGATTGTTTGTCTTTCAACTTTTTGATGTAACTTCTACCTTGATGCAATAAATTTGATAACATTTGGCCGTTAACATGGCCAATGATGCTATTCAATTGATCTTCTTTTTCTTGCTTTAACAATTGTGTTTTACGATGTTAGTTGGATTACTTTGTTAACCAAGGAAACTTATTTGCATTCTTAGTTATACTACCCCGTTGTATGACGACAATGTATTCTTTGTCTCATTCATTGAGTAGAGAAGGGAGGGAAAGTGCGTGCTAAACTCGGCTTAGAGTTAAGCAGTGCTAAAAAATGTGATCATTATAGAGGGAATTGATGGAGATGAAGGAAAAGGCTGCTGAAAAGGGAATCACCAGGTAAAAAATTTTCCTCTAATCTTCTGATAAATACGTGTATCTTCTATCAGATCATTGCTTTGTCTATTCCCTACTGGTGACACACCATTCTCTGTGAGACTGTTTGATGCCATTGTCAGTGGATGCATACTAGTTGTAGTCAGTGATAAGTTGGAGTTACCTTTTGAAGGACTGCTTAACTACAGGAAGGTATGTTTGAATTCTCCCTTAACCTAATGCATTCTATTGCTATACTCAAGAGTTTCTGCAACTATACTCATCTCTCCGTTTCTTTTTCTCTCAGATTGCTGTGATGTTTTCTCCCGGCGATGCTACCTAGGCTTGGTGGCTTACGAATCATCTGAGGAGCCATAGTCCAAATGATCTTTTCACTTTTCTTTTCACTTATTGTAGGTCGTTTCTGGTTATTTTTCTGATGTGGATGGGTTGATGGCTATGCTACTTTGTTTCATGGTCCATAGACTATTTACTGAAGCCTCTAGGTTGTGCTCACGAGTGAAATATTTGGTTTAGGTGTCTGTTATACTAGTTAATTTAGAAGGCAGAGATTGGTTGTTTTCAACTTTGTAGATATGGCTATTACACATTAGTTTTATGCCCTTATCAAATTGATGCAATTTTACCAACTTCAGGTCCTTGCAGTCTCCAAGCACTGCACAACAAGATCATAGCTCCTGAAGCTTCTCAACAAGAGATAAATGTAGAAACTTCAGATATGTTTCAACATTATGACGAAGAAATGGTAAATGCTGTTTGGACTCTTTATTCGTGTGTCTGCCTCATATGAAGTAGTAGATAGTATAAGATTGTCAGTGTTGGGTTTTCTTTCCACGGTATCTGTCATTCTTTTGCGGTCAATATAATATCTCTTGCTTTGCAAATTTGAATATATGGTCTTGTATTCTCTTATGTAACTGTAGGTTGGTAATGGAGATCCCCACACTATTTTTTTCCATCTTCCTGATGAGTTGGGCTCCATGCACGATCTTCAATTTGTTAGCCATAGTACTGGATCATAAGCCATGTCCTTTACTGAGAATGGCATATCCGATGAAAATTTGGATGAAGTATCTTTTGGATGACTCTGCAAAAATTATTAATGTAATGTCTCAAACACTTCGGGTCAGTTTTCTAACTTTCGTGTCTATCCAATTTTGACTGTGCTCTTTATCCTTTTTTAAGACAAGTTTTGTTCTCTTTTTTCATTTTTTTTTCTCCTGAATATCAGCCTATTTACCTTACATTAAATCACCCATGAGCCTTCTAAATGCTATCTCCATCTCTTTTTAAATTGGTTTGCGCAGTACCTCGAGGAATTCTTGGGCCCAATCCTCTTTTTCTGGACTGCATGTGGTGTCAGTTTAGCTGCTCTTGTTGAGGTATGCCTCCAACTGATATTCTCTGTTTCATACATGGATTCCTTTTCTTTGATGGGTACATTACCTTTTCACTCAAGTTACTCATAGCTTTGTTTTCTCCATTTGTTCGTTGGTGTTTCATTTGTTTTACATATTTCATCCACTTTTGTTCTCACTAGCTACTCCCATCAATCTGTCTTTGGTGTATGTGGTGGAGAATTTCATCCACGTTTGTTCGTTGGTGTTTCATTTGATCAGTTAGTCATAATTTATCATGCCTTCCGTTCCAAGATCTTAGCACTGTCAACTGCAAGATCAATAGTTGGAGATCCTGGTTTCAGAAAGTTAAAAATATATATTTTCATCAATTTATAACGTATTGGAATCTCTAGTTGGTCACTCTGTTCTCTTTTCAATTTCAGGTGTCAATTGTAGTTTTGTTTTATCAGGTGCTTCTTCTTCTTCACCAGAACCTCTAATTCCTGCTTTTCTCGTGACACCATTTCACGTGCAGTTCAAACAGTTGAGATTCTTTCTGGGAACGTAACATATCTTGCTCACTCCATCTTGACTTATTGTTTTAGTTTTTCCTTTTATAAGGTCTTACTTGGTTTAGGCAGCATTGATTATTCTAGGAATGCGGCCTCATGATTGACAGGATAGTCGTGTTTCACCCAGAAAGGGTGTTCATTGTGAAATTTTCATTTGCCGAAGATTTTCACGATATAGCAATGTTCTTTGTCAATTTGATACTTCAGTCACA